CAACGAGACCATCAATGGAGGAATTGCAAACTTCTCGAAACTCATTGTGAAGGGGTTTACAAGCGATCCGTTGCTCACCACCGTGTATGGAATTCCCTACGGAGCGTGCACCGCGTTTTTCATGTTTACTGGGCCGTTCGTGGCTAGTAGGGTCAAGAACTTCCGCACGATCGTCATGATAATCTGGCTGCTGCCGACCTTGGTCGCCGTCACTCTCTTTTGGCAACTTCCTCGAACTAACAAGGGAGGGTTGTTGACTGGCTACTACCTGGTAAGTATCACGAAATTTTGTTGAGTTTCCCTGATTGAAAGATTCAGTTTAATAACAGACGAGTAGTGCGCCTCATTCATTGGCTCGCTCATTGTTGCTTTGCAGATGCCTGCATCGAACGTAGCCGGCTACACAAAGCGAACAACAGCCACCGCTTTCGTCTTTCTCGCCTATTGCATTGGAAACATCATTGGCCCACATGGGTTCCTTGGGAGAGAAGCACCTATTTACCAAACTGGATGCCAACTGATTATTGGCTGCATCTGTGGCCAAATAGTGATTGCTGTCATGTTGCGAATGTTGTTGATCCGGAGGAATAAGCAAAGAGATGCTGACACCAGTGTGCCAGCGGAGACGGACAGGATCGAGGACATCACGGACTTTGAGAATCCTCACTTCAGATATGTGTACTAAGATGGTTAGTTCGTGTGGACTTGGGGACTTTGAGATAGGGAGGAACATCACATGTGCGCCCTGTGTCAGAAGCCCGTCGCTTGCTAGCAATCAGCCCTTGATCCTCAATTTAGAGCTCTTCTTAGCTTGAAAAAAAGATTCCGCGCTCAAGCCAGACTGGGCGACCAAGTCAAGCTTGCAACTATGACATTTTGCGACTGTCTTAATTTTTATGCTATTTTATACTCCTAACCGTTATTGACAGTTCCCTGACCAAAGCCAGACCGAATAAGATCCTTTTCTAAGCCTCTTCAACGGTGTCACCAAACAAGAAGTTTGCGAATGCGGGAGGCAGATGATAGCCGGCCAACTCTGCCGTCTCCGAAAGGTGCCTGACCTCAGCCTCTTCTTCCGCCGTCAGCTCGACATTCAGTGACGCCCAATTGTCCTCAAGGTATTTGATTTGCTTGGTTCCCGGGATGGGGATGATATCCCCTCCCTGCTTCCGCAGCCAAGCGAGGGAAAGCTGCGCTACCGAGCAGCCCTTCTTGTCAGCCAGTGCCTGGTATTTCTTAGCGACCTCGATATTCTTCTCTCGGTTGTCTTCATGGAAACGAGGAATGAGCATGCTACGCATATCCCCGCCTTCGGTGAGCGCATCGCCGCTGGCAAATCGGTTGGTGAGCATCCCGCGGGCGAGCGGCATGGCAGCAACCACGGGGATCTGGAGCTCTCGACAGGCTTTGAGAAGGTGACCGCTGTGTGCTTGCTCGATTTCCAGATTGAAAGGGGAGTAATCGGTTTGGACAGCAGCGACGGGAGCAACCTTAACAGCGCGACGAAGACTAGCAGCACTTATCCCAGAGAGACCAATATGCTTGATCTTTCCTTCCCTGGGAACAATGGGTCAGGCTAAAGTGGCGGACGGTTGGAGGTCTTTGCTTACGTTTTGAGCTCAGCGAGAGCTCTCATTGTTTCCTCGATGGGGGTTTTATGGTTGGCGTGGTGCATATAAACTGTTGGGTAGATGTTAGTTGACGTTGACTTCTCCAATCTTAGAGAAGTAGGTAGAAAATACAGAGGTCAATGGAATCGATGCCGAGATTCTTAAGACATTCATCGCATGCTTTCTTGCAATATGCGCCGGAACTGTCAACCTCGAGGGTCTTGCTTCCCTTGACAAAACCAAACTTGGTAGATACAAAAATCTGGTCCCGTTTCCCTGTACGCTTGAACCATTTGCCTATAAGTTCTTCACTGTCTCCGTATAGACTGGAGAGTATAATTAGCAAGTCGAACCAAAAGAATAATTTGTCGGCTTATCGGGGGAAAACTCACTCAGCGCTATCCCAAAATGTATAGCCAAGCTCGAAAGCGCGGTCAAGAAACGCAAGTCTCTCATCGTCACTGGGAATAGGACCGTATGGACCCTTGGAAAGGCCCATGAGACCGAGACCAAGGACGGGCACGGCTGGGCCGTTGTCTCCCAGACGTGTAGTAGGAACTTTATCTGTCGGCATCTTGTTATTGGGTCAAATCGTGATCTGTAGTTGCGGATCTGGTTGGAAGGTCTCAGTTCAGATTTGAATTTGCTATGGATATTTTTACAACATGGAGGGAGAAAGGTGCTTTATATATACACAAAGTCTGAAATCCTTCCTTCTATGCATTGATTCTCCATACCTAGAAGCATACTCGAAGATACGACTCATTGAGAAGGGGCCATGATTACGGATCTCACGATCCAATGAGGTTTGAAAATTGCCGAGCAGACGAATGGATGCTGATGGTGTATTTGCGGGGCCCTTCATTCCAGGATTGGGGGGGGGAGGATGGATGGGGGAGGCACGGCACAAACATCCGATCTGATCGGCGTGTTGTGTGACATGCAGTTCTTAGTCTTCCTTTGATCGTGCGTACTCTGACCAGCCGGACAGACTGGACAAACACATAATACAGAAGTACCGGATCCTCTATCTAATCTACATAACAAGACGGTGGTAAGCTATTCTGAGTTTCTGACTCTTCGCCGGCCGGGTTGTTTCCAGCTTCGCCCCATGATATCCACTTGCCCCTGCATGTACCAATCATATGCCAACTTAGCCGACTGGGCCAATCAACAATCAAGAGGTTGGCATGGGTTAGGGAGAGCCAAGAGCTTATCACTCGCCGCACCACATCATTGAGCATTGCTCCCACTCACCAACAACCAACGAAGGCCTTTCATCCGCCATCACAGTCACGCTGTCATCTGTTCCAAGACCAATATGGCTCCCACTAGCCGTGTTGCAGGGAAATCTAAGGCCAGGGTTAAGTCAGGCTGCCGCACTTGCAAGTAAGTTACCAAGGGCCCTTGCCACTTATCCCACGTTGCTCTATGAAAGCTCATCACGGCGCCCCCTCGGCTAGAATACGAAAAGTAAAGTGTGACGAAAGCCGCCCGGCATGCCAGAGATGCATACAGACAGGCCGGACATGTGACGGGTACGGCATCTGGGGTGGGGGAGGAGCCCCTAAAGCGCATCCCATAGCCACCTCAGGAAGCCAGAGTCATGGTTCCTCGTTAAGGTACTGTGGCAACTCGGGTCTGGTTCTCTCTCGATCTCCCGGATCATACCCCGTTTTTCCTGCATCAGCTTCCCTTGATGAAATGGAAGCGATGGCATTCGATTGGTTCAAGCTCCGGACAGCGACCAAGCTCCCAGGGAGTTACCACAGCCCATTCTGGGACACTCTCCTTTTCCAGGCCACTGTAGGCGAGAAGGCCGTGTGGCACACTGCGCTTGCTCTGGGGGCATTTCATCGGACCAGGATCCTTCAAGCTGAAGATTGTATTGAGGCCTCCATTGACTATCTCCCCACCAAAGAGAGCAAATTCATGCTACAACATTATATCTCAGCCATCAGCGAACTGCGTTGCCTTCTCTCTAAGAAAGACAAGGCTTCATATCGCGTAGCACTTGTCATCTGCATCATGTTCACCACACTAGACTTCCTCCGGGGTCATCTCAAGGCTGCACAGATGCATCTCCGAAACGGATTAAAGGTCCTGGGAGAGCTTCAAGGGAGTTCCTCTCACGTCAAACCAGGAGCTACCAATGTTTTAACACATAGCACTGGCCAAGAAGATGGCTGGATTTCCGAAGCGTATTCGAGGCTACACCTGCAGATGCAGTTATGGAAGCCAAGGGCAGAGAAACCATTGTTCTCGCTGTCGGATAGCTTGCTCTCAATACCTACGACATTCCAGTCCTTACCTAAAGCGTGGCAAGGATGGGAGGGTATAATGAACCAAATACTCAATCTCACAGAAGAAGCACGCTTGCAAACACAACCCTCTCCTAGCTTGATTGAACAGCGTGAGCGCATCCGATCAGCCCTTGATCAATGGCTCAACAGCTACACACATTCAGACCTCGGGTTACTACCAGTAAGTGCTGAGAAAGCCGACGCGCTCATTCGCGCCTACCACTCAATGGCAACGGTCATGGTCGAGGTGTGCCTAAATCCTGGCGATGAGATGATCTATGATTCTCAAACGAATCAGTTTCTTGATATGCTCAGCCACCTACTGCGCTTGCTTTCGGGACATGGTGCTCATACTATCTATGGACTCTCAGAAGCTTCTTCAAGCAGAAGCAAGTTCGAATGGTCCATTGTCGACTTTGGCAACATCCAGGCACTCTACTACATGGCAGTCAAGTGCCGTGTGCACAGAATTCGGCTGCAAGCTATCCGTTTGTTGGAGCTCTGCTCTCACCGGGAAGGGATTTGGGATTCTAAGGCGGCAGGGTGTGTTGCCAGGAAAGTAATGGATTTGGAAGAAGAGGGGAATTGCTACAGCGATCTGGATGACGACTTCCCTATTCTTGGATATCCCGAATTCTCCGAGATAAGCGAGCCAAATATTCCTGTCTCTCAACGAATATGTGATGCCGAGATTGAGATGGAAGGATCACCAATGAGCACCATTCTTCTATTCGGCCACGAGTCTGGTAAACGGGTGGTCATATCAAAATATGACTGCATGTCTATGGAATGGGAGGACAGTAATGTATCCGGTGGGCGATTCGACAGGAGGCTCATACCTGCGGAGCCCTGGCACTCTATCCCTTTCCGTCAAATTTAACATTTATAGTAGAACTGATGGGTTAATATAATATCAAATGTGTAGTATCCATCTGCGAGGCCGTTTGAATTCATATGATTGAGTTTGATCAAGCTGGCATGTTGTCAGGAGCGAAGATGTCTAACAATCAGGTCGCAAATGTGATTACTTTGCCCTCTTATAAGAAAATGGGTTTCCTTGACATTCGCTACAGTCTCCGTCATCGACCTAAAACAAACCCCAAGTTGTAATTGAAAAGTCATGGCGTACTCCGCCCTGAATCGTGTATTTTGCAGCATTGAGAACCTGCTTCCCAATATCGCGAAATGCCTGCCCGCTTCCTGACACTTTATTGATATAGATCTTGGTGTACCACATTTCCGCACCAGGAAGAGAAGGAGAGCTTGCACCATTGGTAACCCATTGGATACTGAACTCTACATAATCCAGGGTTCCTCGTTGCCCGTACTCGCAAATCGTGTATCCCCGCCCTTCATCCTTCCAAGACACACCAAGTTCGTTCATTTTCGAGGTGACGGCATCGCGGCATTCGTTAAAAGGCCGCTGGAGCGTTGATTTTAGGTTTGGTATGCCTTTGAGCCACGACACAAACTGGAACATCCTGGAAGTGCGGCTTGAGACGTCGTTGCTAGCTCTGCCACCTGCCGAACGAGATACGGGAGGTGGTGGAGACTCCTCCATTACTCGGCGGAGGTTACCAAAGCCATCTGGTCTGTTTTCCATGTCGTCAAATGTCTTTGTTGAGTGACGAGACTGGGGTTCTCGATGGTATTTTTTCAGGTGTTTAAGGAGGGATAAGGTCGAAGGCGGGGAGATTTCCAGCTGACGATGCGCAGACAGCCGACAAAGAAATATGGTGGGTTACTAAAGTGAGGCTAACTTATGCACAAAGAGGATGGCCGAAGTGACTGGTCATCAATGCACAATCATTAAGGCGGTGACCGACGTTGGGTACCTAATAAGAGACTCCGCGTCGTCCTTTCAGCGCGGTGCAGCATCAGGGGGCTGTCCTAAGAAACGGTTGTTCAGCAACCCAGAAATTCGGAGAAACGAATGCCAAGCTATTTCTTTTGCAATGCTGTGGGAAAATAAATGCAATGGCTGATGACCGAACACCATTTCACATTCTGAGTGAGGCGAGCTCTTGGAGGCCGCAGACTATTGACGCCACATCATGCCGATCATGTTGTAATAAGGCTCTACCCCCTGCCATCGGAAAGCTGAACAATTGGCCAGAGAGAAGAAGGAAAAAAGAAAGTATGACCAAAATGAAAACCCAGATCACTCTCGGTTTGATGGGAGCCCTCATCTCTGATACACCCTCTTTCACTACTCTTCTTCATAGATAGGATCGCTATTATTATTCCAGCCATGGCGTCAATTTTTACATACGAATCTCTTTGCTCCATACCAGATGTGATACGGCTCCTGGAGTTCGATTTGAGTGGCTCGAATCAGCATAAACTTGTACGTCAAGCCAACATGCGATCGACAAAATACCTCGCATTATCGTATACGTGGGGGTCGAATTCAAATCAAGTGAATATTTCGCTCAACTTTCAGCAATTTTCGATCAATCCCAATCTATCCAAAGCCCTTGAGTCAGTCCGACAACACTGGATTCGCCATTATCCACAACGGGATATACTCCTTCTTTGGGTCGACCAAATTTGCATCAATCAGAACGATGAGGTTGAAAAGGGCCATCAAGTATCCATGATGGGAGATATTTACCGCTGCGCACACCAGACTCTTGTTTGGCTGCCCGTTCCAGCCTCTGTTACAGCAGGATTCCAAGATTGGCAGACATGGAGGAACTGGCACCAAAACCAGGTCACAGCCTCACAAATAATTGTGTCTCAAGGCCCTGTGGCACAGACGGAGATGACGTACGGTCTGGATGCAGACTATCCTGTAGGTAGCGACGCCGATAATCGTGATAGAGAGCTCATGATGGCGTGGAGCCACATACACGATATTATTGCAAGTCCTTGGTGGGAGAGGGCTTGGATTTATCAAGAAATCATGGGTCCTGACCACGCCACATTCTTGATCGGTCGCGTTTCAGCGCCGTGGGAGGAGCTGTATGAGCTACTCCAATTGTTCTTCAGCCAAAGACACCGCCATGGTGATTTCTGTGCTAGGCTGATGCGAACACTACGGTCGCAGGGGAATAGCTACATAATACGTTTACCTAATTGTTGTGGTGCTTGCCTGGACGAGTGTCGAATGTGTGCTGGAGAGTCCAGAGATGCAGCGTCCAGGAGTAGGAATGACTGGGATGGCTTCACCCCCGAGACATGGCGCGCAGTTGCCAGAGTATGCGGATGTTTGGAGGCAGTTTTACGTCGCTGCAGCACGAGTTCAGTTTCAGATGAGGAAACACAAGCAACTCAAAGAGCATTTGTCAAGAGGCATAGCGAAAGGCTCCTCGAAGCTGACGCGTTCTGGAAACTCACAAACTTCGTTCTGCAAAGCAAAAAGGAACTACAAGACAGAAAGAAGTCGGTATCGGTACCATATCTGTCTCTACTGCAACTAATGGGGCATTCTCGCAACTGTAAAGCATCCGAGCCGCTTGATAAGGTCTATGCTTTTCTTGGCTTGGCCGAGCCAGGGCATGGCATCCAGGTAGATTACTCCAAAACTGCCAACTCGGTTCTCACAGAAGTTGCCTGTGCAATCATTCTAAGAGAAGAGGGTCTTGATATTATTGGAATAGCACTACAAAATAACAGGTTGAGAGTCCAATCCCCCACGGATCAACTGCCATCGTGGGTACCCGATTGGTCAGTCAAAGACGACGCAAGCACCGAGTACAAGACTTTCCTGGAAGACATTCGTTATGATTCTATGAACTACTCTCTTGGTCCCAGCCAAGCATCACAAACAAGAAAGGCCGTTGTTTCCTTTCATGCAGATAGCCATGGCAGACCAAATCGCATCCTTCGAGCTCGTGGTATTCTTGCTGATTGTCTTATACGTGCCAAGCCTAGTGCAACTGCTTCATCCTTTTCACACATTGTTGGAGAAAGTGGAACGGAAATCAAAACAGTACCAAACGCGCGTATTGGCGATGAGGTCTGGGTACTTCTTGGTTGCAAGGACACATTCACTCTCAGAAAAGATGGAGGGCTGTATACTGTACTCGGCCATGCTATGGTTTTGGAACGCAATCCTATGTTTGAAGACGTCCTGTCAGGCATTCTCAACGAGAGAGTACAAGCCGCCAGGGAAGCCCAGCATATCCGAGAGGGCGGCTTGATAGAACGACTAGGGAGAGGCGAGGCGGCAACAACAGATCTCATGATTTCCTAGCTAGACGTACGATGAACAACAAGCGTCTTGTTGATTTTACTCAAGTCACACTAGTTAGTTACCAAGAAAAACTGCGTTTACATTGTGTGACCAGATATAAAACTGTTAAGACTGCTCAAATTCAAGTCCTATATGTTTCGATTCCTGCAGTCATAGGCTCATGTCCTCCCCGGTATTTGGCTCGGTAAATGATCGAAGTCTATCCCTTTAATGTAAAAGGTGATAGAATCTACAATAACTCACGTATGAAAGTCTAACATGCATTCTGTAGAAAAGATGTTTAGATCTTGCCCTTCTGTAGGTGCTTTTCTACTCATGAGACCTTTCTAGGTAAAGATTACTGCTATGTGAAGAGATAACAAGAATTCACGATGATAATTGAGCATAGAGCGCGAAGATGTTCTATGGCAGGCCCTATCTAGGTCACTGAATCACTTCTGGTAATCCTCCAAGATGTCCCTATCTTGTCCCATCTCTCTCAGCCAATACGGCCAGGTATCAGAACTGCCAAATTTGTCCGCGAATCCATGAACAAGTTCGTTCAATGGTTCTAGGTCATCATCTTCGCTAGAATCAATAACAGTGCCGTCTTCTGGCGAGCTGAGCCCGCAAGCCCGGCCGACTTCCACAAAATAGCTTAAATTATAAAGAAAGAGCAACTCGATATTCGGACATTCCTCCAAAAGAAATCGAAGGATCGTGCCCCATATTCCTCTGTCCATTGGCAACTTCACGTCGTCTATTATAAGCTTCTGTAATCGAGCTGGTGGTCCCCCGAACAACTTGATAAGTTTCTGGATGGGCGTGACACTGCCATAGAGCCGACCGAGAGAAAGCACCCTCAGGCCTACGAAATCAGGCGAATCGGGCAAGGGAAGCTGGTCCAAATCGAGGTAATGAGTACCCTGGATACTCAGCGTTTCCAGATTTATGCATGGCTTGAGCAACCTCCATAATTCCATTTGGTGTCGTCTGTTGGGGTATCTTCGCTGAAGAGGTGATCTGTCAAAACTTGAGTCGTAGTCTAGCGCTGCTGTATCATCTCCTGATTCTTCCGCGGTTCCATCAACGTCCTCATCCTCGTGATACGATTCCTCAAGAAAGTCTCTGCTTCCCGACCTCCCAGAAGAATCAAGGATTTCAATCAGAAGGTTCCGGAGTTGCACCGATTTATCGGGCTGAACGGCTTTGAAAGCCTGTGCGGCATGGTAGGTACTGGGGACCTTGAGCTGAAGACTTGTTATACGGCCGGATGAGTTGGTCTGATGGAAGCAGTGGGCTACTGCTTCGACAACGGAGTTGGCTACATCTGGATCGTTTGAGTTCCCCGGTGGGAAATGCAGGGAAAAAGATTCCACGTGTCCCAGACGACGGAACAGTTGAAGCAGAAGGTCTTTGATATTCCATTTCTGGGGTTGACCGCTGACGGGTATGTCATGAGCCTCCTTGCCAGGCTTGATCACCAGCCGTCTGACAATCTCGCGAGTCGGCAATAAACCATTGCCCTGAGCACGACCTTCATTAGGCTCGGGAAGACAAATCAAAGCCTTCCCAAGAGATTCGGCGGAGCCAAAGTCAACCTTCCACGTAAGATGCTTCTGCATCACGGCTGTCACCCATCGGTTCCATTCTCGTGAGATCAGGCGAAGCGCGAGGGCTGACTGATCTATATTGATTCGGTGACGATCATAGTGATCTGTGCAGATCACATCATCCCATAGAATGCGGCGTGAGAAGTACCAATCGACATCGAATGGATAAAACTTGGCCTCGGGAACATTGATTAGTTCCTCCAGGATCTGGGTGATTATCTCTGCTGGCAGGTGCATTATATTGGCTGCGTGGGAGCGTTTGAATTGTGGTGAGGAGGTGAAGAAGTGAGTGATGGCACGATACGATTCACGGTCCTGTACCCCCTCACCATTCACTATTCTTAGATACATATGCTCCAGGTATGTCCAATGACAGTTCGTTAATTGTGGATACCCGGCTGCCTGCAGGCTACAATGAAAAATGAAAATGTCATAACCGATATTGGCAGTGATAAATTTGGGAACTGCCGGGGTCACTCAATACACAGATATGTGTGAGAAATTCCTGCAAGCTCAGCTTTTGAAAAGGCAACCCAGAAGAAAGACAGCCTGTTCGGAATATTTTTTTTTATAGACTTCCGCGGCAGATTAAATGCGCGTCAAAGTGTGTTTCTATCAAAGAACACAATAACTCCTGTTTTCTTACATGAAGGCTCTTAATTGGCTGGCAACATTACATTCTAAAAAAGGCTTGTCTATTGTACATCTTCATTGTACCAATCTAGGCATAATTTTCGAGAGGTCTAGCGGCAGAGGCGCTGGCATTACTAACAGTAGATAAGGTTCGTCCAAGTCCCCCAAACTACTCCCTTTGACTATAGTCTATGTCTTATTACAATGTGCAATAGGTATTAAGCCGTTGTTCATACTCCACTGAGGTTGTTACGCCCAAGACGTGAAATACCCTTGTGATCACCTCCAATTCAAGATCAGGCTCTAGAAATAGCACGGCACAAAAGTACCAATCATCAGAGCCTGAATCGACCGTGTAGATGTCAAAATCGGAACTTCGGTCGTGTAAGTATCTTTGAACAAAGTTGCCAGCCTCCCAAACCACAGCCGATGTGAGGTGCCGGTGGGTTATTCGGCAACAAAGGTCCCAAAGAGCGCTTGAGACCGAGAAACTTAAATCGAAATGCCCACATCCTTCCTAGCCTCTAATTCGAATTGTGTCATGAATCTATCAGTTCGATTCGTTCCATCAGATAACTAGATCCATTCATGTATCTTCATCATTGCGGGGAATGAATGGCTGCAGCTATCACATAGCTCATCCAGGTGACTGGGGCAAGGCGCAGAACGGAAAAGGAAAAGGACAAGGCGAACTAGCTTCACGGATATATGGGTTGCATTCAGTGACGAAAAATAAATTTGATTTTTTGGTATTCGTATTCATGTGCCTAGTGAGGGTATAAACTACGATGTCTACTTTGTGCGTTCAATCATGTGGTTCATCTCATAATCCCATCCCATCCAGCCAACTGATAGTAATTCCAAACAATAAACATCGCAAGCCAATGCTCCATAAAATGCCAAATTTACCACACTAAAGAACGTCCATCTTGTCATAGAGGTAGCTTAAAGCACCAGGGCGAGAAGGGTGGTCCCAATAGCCAGGAGGTATGAGACTTGGAGAGCGTGCCCAGCCCCGGTGATGTAGATGGTGTCGGGCTTGTCCATCTTGGGCAGTGTGGCAGTCTGGGTTTGTTGAGCGCTGGTGAAGTAGACGGTGCGCGAGGAGCTGCAGTATCCAGAGAAGGTGAGGGAGAACCTGTCAGCGCCGCAGTCCGTCTTGATGTTGCCAGCAGCGGACTTGATGGTGCCGAGCCAGGTGGACAGGACCTTGTCGTAGCTCATGTAGTCGGACGAGAAGCTGGCGGGAGCGGTGACGGTGCAGGTAGGCATCACCAGAGAGGCGGTGGCCCAGCGGGAGAAGGCACTGTTGGTCGGCAGAGGAGGAGACAGCTTGTTGACTACGGACGTGAAGCACGACTGGCTGATAGCACGGGGTTCCAAGCTCATGTCCAGAGTTCGGTCAAACAGAGGTGAGGCTGGGGAGAAGCCCACAACACCGGAGTTCTCAGCCCCGAGGGAGAAGCTGGTGAAGCAGAGAAGGAGAAGGGCGAACATGTTGGGCACCTTGGCGTACATCTTGATCGCGGTCAATCGAATCGGTGTTTTTTTCAACGAGGAATTGATGAAGAATGAGAATCCGAAAGGCAACAGGGCTCGGGGAAGCTTTATTAATATATCACCCTAACAACATTGAAAACATCAAGGCCGCTGCATCCTTTTTATCTCCGCCGTGACCAGAGCTACAGGGCTGTTCAATAACGACTTTTGAAAGAACAAACGATCCGGCACTCTACCCTTTGGGCTTGTAGCGCACGGCGGACCTCTTGGCGCCGTCATATGGATTTCCACCCCAGGTTGACTGCTAGGCAGTTTTCTGTCTTGGGCTCTGCAAGCTCGGGCTTGGCACGATCGGCAACATGGAGGGAGACACTCAAGAGCATCTCATGACACGCTACAGCCTCCCATGCATTTCAGCCGCAAGCAAGTGCTGAGCCACTATGGCACTAGGAGGTGAGCTGGCCCCTGCTGAAGGAATACACATTGACTGAAGCTGACGCCCCGCCACGTGATGATCTCTGGCTAGGCTAGTGATCTGCCTTTGTCTTTGCTTCATCCGGCCTTCTCCGATATGTCATTGCCTGGGAGCGTTTATGCTTCGGGCGTCTCTTGGCCTGTCGCCCCAGGGGCGCGGCACACAAACCAATAGCAAGCAAGGGAGTTAGCTGACAAGTGTGTCAGATCCATTGTAGCCTAGTTTGGGGAATTCGTCTGGCACATGGACATGGAGTAGGTCGACTGCGTTGTCCGAAACGCATGGACAGGCAGGCGGCATTTTTGGGAGCTGGACCTATGGCACCTCCCACCGCCAGCACGCGCTTGGGGCTGATATGTCTCATCGGCCATGTCCCCTTCGATATTCCACGCAGTCCCATCTATTTTGGTAAACGAATCACACCAGGGACCAGGAGACATGGACCCAAATCTGCCTTAAGGTTAAAAGTCCCAATACTGTACAGAGCTAGCACGCTACGTTGTTTAAAATACCGGGCCATGAGGGTATGCTTAAAAGCCAAGACCTCCGATGCTGCCACCGGATAACGCGGAACGGAATTCCACCTAGCGCAAATAATAGCATCCCATCACATTCTTAAGGACAAAGCACCGATATGAAACAGTGACTTCCATGCACCTGTGGAGCTAGCTACATGAAACAATGCATACCATATAGAAACAGACTGAGTATCAACATTCTGGTCCTCAAAAAGACACACAGATGATATGCAGTTCTGCAGATGGAAGCAGTTATGCATAACACTAAGCTTTTAGAGGTGGTTTTGGTTGAAAGTTCAAGCCAGACGTAGGAACACATCAAAGATCCAACCTAATACACCCCATTTCTCCTATTTCATATGTTTCTTACGCCACATATTTTTTTTTTCCTTGGCCGTCACGTCTTAGTCTTCCAGTGAGTTTAATTCTCGACATGAAGGTCTGGACGGTTATGAGGCCGAGAATCTACCTACCCTGTACCACCTTGCGCCCTTCTTTTGCTCATCGAAACATGGGTTCTATTCTTGGAATAAAGTTTGTTCGCCGAGGCTGCATTACGAGCACAGCAATTTTAACCCCATCCGAAGGGTGGTCAGGCACAATCCTACCCTTTGCCACACTCAGAAATTATTGGTACTTAGAGGCTTTCTCCCTTTTCACGCCAGTACAGTAAACATAGCCACTGCCAAAGTTCCCAATATTAATATCAATCTCACAGGGGGAAAAAACCATGGGCTGCTTTTAGCACATTAGATTGAACCGGCCCAAGCATCTAGTGGCCACGGCTCTGTGTACCCAGTACTTCGTACAAGAAGTCTGTTTACGGAAAGTCTTTCAGGCAATAAGTTGAGTTGACTCTCCTAAAATCCTCTATCGCAATCACCTAAATGTTTTGACACATCGCGACGAACAATACGGCATGTACTTTTATCTTGGGCCGATGCCCGATCATGTTCTAGATGCACTTGAATCTTGACCTCCCCATAACGAGTCTTGAGTCATGTGCTGCATAATCTAGCGGGATTCGGACAAGACGAGCTTCGTTAGATGGAGGGCAACTGCGAATAGAGCATTGAATATAGGCTACACAGAAGGTCGTTCCGATACCATAGATAACTGAGCGGTTATCGGGAGGCGGCATTTTATGGGACTTGTCTTGGGCTGAATTCTACGGGTCAAGCCTCTTATTACCGTGAAAGTGTGGTGTGGCATGCTGATAATATGCCCTTTGGGCATTATTGCATGCCATTTGCCCAAGTGTCTGCAATTTGTAGATTCCGTATCCATCCACGGAAAATCCATACGAGTTGATTCGCTACGCGAACCATTTTATTGCAAGGGTGTCGGTCTGCCTCACCGGTCTCGTGTACTTTGTCTACTGGATATGACGTGACGATATTGAAAATGGAAAAACAGGGGTCTTTGCGGGCGCCCAACGACCAAATGCTACGCTGACACCAGCCCTTTCACTACTCCAGGTTTCATCCCATCATCCTAGTTTTCCTCCGCTCTCTCGTAAACTCTCAGTAATTCAGAAGAAGCTATCACAGTTAGCCATCATGTACTTCGCAAGTGCTTTGGCTACACTTCTGGCTGCTGCCAGCGTTGGTGCTAGCGGTCCCGTTTATGGGATGGATGGCGTTGCGAAGTATCCAACTTGCCCCGATGGCTACGACACCTACTGCTGCATGACGGTTACACCATACTCGCACTCTTGCAGTAGAGGCAGATGCTCTAACGTCCCAGGTTGGAGCTGCGTGATTGGACCTGGGAAGGTTGAGTCGATGAAGTACTGTATGAATGAGGTTGGGGGAAACAAGAGCCCATACTGCAAGAAACCTGGATACGAGTAAGTGACACCGCAAGCACATTGGCCTGGGTGCAACATAACGACATGTTTGCCATCAATGAATATGTTTGTTTAACTGTTGGTGATAATAGAAATTTCGGATCTGTTTTGAGATGGACTGGTGGCTCCTTTAAACCAATGCTAGAACCTTCCAACTACCGCCAGTATCTCCGACCGGGAATGCACCCACCCTGGGTGCCATCAAACGACGAAATTAAGTGGGAGACGGACACTGAAGAGAATGGAGATGGGCTTGAAACTGAGTTACGCAAGCGCGAGCCCGACCACGATGAAACAGATATGGCATGATATCGGGCATACGAATAAGAACCAGAGGGCGGATACGAAAGGCCGAGCTGCCCTTCATCTGTGTATTACCTACTTGGTGTTATCGTATTATGCTTTCATATCTAGCATTTGGAGGTTCGTGCAATATCAAGAGACCATGACGTATGTTAATTCTATGAATTCATGTGATTTTCGTGTCCCATGCTTGATTATGAATCGACTGGAACGCCCATAAAAGGTGATATAGTGCTTCTTCAAGGTAGAAAAGGAAAATTCACATGGTAGTTAACACATCCAAATTTCAAACGATCCCTGGCTTTATACCCAATGAAATTAAATCATTGTTAATCATGATTGGTAGCTACTAACAAGGAATGAGATGATCGATCCGAAATAATCAATTATTGACACCATTCATAAACCAAGTCCCGTCCACTTCCGAATCTCACTACTTATAGACCAATACTAATCGAAATGCAGATTCCAAAGGCACAATTCTCGCCCGATGGGCACGGGGTGCTGAAATCACAGCTATTGCCCGACCCAGTTGCGCAAGTACCTGCATTGCAGACCTGGCCCGTAGGACAGTCAGAGCTGGTGCTGCAACCGCCAGTTGAGGGCCGGCACGTTCCGGAGACGCAACTCTGACCCGTTGGGCAATTCGAGTTGACTGTGCAGGAACCGGTCGAGCCAGTCTGGCAGGTTCCAGCGTTGCATGTTTGGCCGGTCGGACAGTCTGCACTGGTGTTGCAAGTGCCAGTTGAGGCTCGGCATGTTCCGGACACGCAGGTCTGGCCAGTAGGACAGTCTGAACAAGTACTACACGTGCCAGTCGAGGTAGTCTGGCAAGTCCCTCCATTACACGTTTGACCAGTCGGACAGTCTGCACTGGTATTACATGTGCCAGCAGAGGCTCGGCAAGTCCCAGAAACACAGGTCTGACCAGTAGGACAGTCTGAACTAGTACTGCAAGTTCCAGTCGAGGTAGTCTGGCAAGTCCCTCCATTACAATTTTGACCGGTCGGGCAGTCTGAAGTATTATTACACGTGCCAGTAGAGGCGCGGCAAGTCCCAGAAACACAGGTCTGGCCAGTAGGGCAGTCTGCAGAAGTGTTACAAGTACCGGTTGAAGTAGTCTGGCAAGTCCCTGCGTTACAAGTTTGGCCAGTTGGGCAATCTGCACTGGTAGTACAAGTGCCAGTCGTGGTAGTTTGACAAGTCCCTGCGTTGCATGATTGACCGGTAGGGCAATCTGCACTCGTATTGCAAGTGTTGGTTGAGGCCCGGCATGTACCAGAGACACAGGTCTGGCCAGTAGGGCAATCTGTACTGCTACTGCAGGCTCCAGTCGAGGCTCTACAGGTCCCAGAGACGCATGTTTGGCTGGTAGGACAATCTGTGCTGGTAGTGCAAGTGTTGGCTGTGGTTTGGCAAGTCCCGGCATTACATGTCTGGCCAGTAGGGCAGTCTGCGCTCGTATCGCAAGTATTAGTTGATGTTTGGCAGGTCCCCGCAGTACATGTCTGGCCGGTAGGGCAGTCTGCCGTAGTATCACAGGTGCTAGCAGAGGTTTGACAAGTTCCGGAGATACAAGTTTGACCAGAAGGACAATCTGCGGTAGTATTGCAAGTATCGGATGAGCTCTGGCATACTCCAGAGATGCAGCTCTGACCTGTTGGGCAGTTTGAGCTAACGGTACAAGCAACAGCTGTCTGACAAGTCCCAGAGTTGCAAATTCCGCCGGTAGGGCAATCCGCGTTGATTGTGCAACTTCCAGTTGGAGTTTGGCAGGTTCCCGCATCACAGTTCTGTCCAGTTGGGCAGTCAGCATCAACTGTGCAGGTGCCAGTTGAGGTGATCTGGCAAATCCTGGCAACACAACTCTGCCCTGTCGGGCAATCTGAATCAAGCAGGCAGGTATTGGCAACCTGGCAGACCCCAGCGATACATGTCTCTCCCAGAGAGCAGTCTGTATCAGAACTGCAGTTAGTGTTTGACCCAGTGCCGGTCTGGCAAATTCCAACATTGCACGTTTGACCTGTAGGACAGTCTGAGTCAACGCTGCAAGTGCTAATACTAGGTTCAACCTGACAGGTTCCTGCATTGCAAGTCTGCCCAGTAGGGCAGTCAGAAGTGGTTGTGCAACTACCGCCTGATCCTACTTGACAAGTTCCAGCATTACAAGTCTGCCCAGTAAGGCAATCGGCGTTGACTGTGCAACTTTCGCCCGAGACAGCTTGGCATGTCCCGGCGTTGCAGCTTTGTCCAGTCGGGCAGTCTGAGTTGGCTATACAAGCACCGCCTGACCCGCCCTGACAGATTCCAGCATTGCAAGTCTGACCAGTAGGACAGTCAGCGGTAACGGTGCAAGTTGAGCCGGCCTGGCAGGTCCCTTCATTACACGTCTGGCCAGTAGGACAATCTTCATTGGCTGTACAAATTTCAGGTAGGGTTATCTGGCAGGTCCCGGTAACACAGGTCTGACCAGCGGAGCAATCAGAGTTGACGGTGCAGATTCCACCTGAGCCAACTTCGCAAGCTCCAGAAATGCAGGTTTCTCCAGCAGGACAGTCTGAGCCGACTGTACAACTGCCACCTGAAGCTAGCTCGCAAGTTCCGGCATTGCAGGTCTGCCCAGAGGGACAGTCCGAATTGACTGTACAAGTGTCAGCTGGGTCGTTCTGACAGACCCCAGAGACGCAATCCTGTCCTGTTGGGCAGTCAGTGGCAACAGTGCAAGTAGTTTGGATCTCGCAAGTTCCTGCGTTACAGGTCTGACCGGTAGGACAATCAGAGCTGAGTGTACAGCTGCTGCCCGAAGCTGTCTCGCAAGTTCCGGCATTGCAGATTTCTCCAGCCGGACAGTCCCCATTGACAGTGCAAGAGCCGATCGAATCAGTCTGACAAATTCCAGCGACACAAGTCTCTCCCGTTGGGCAGTCAGAGGCAACAGTGCAAGTAGTCGAGACCTGGCAAGTTCCTGCATTACAGGTTTGGCCTGTAGGGCAGTCCGTACTGGTGGTGCAGCTGGTAGTCGTCTCAGTTTCACATTGACCGGCCGCGTTACATCTCTGCCCAGAGGGACAGCCTGAATCGCTAGCACAAGCCAGTGGAATTTCTGTACATGTCCCCTCATTGCAGTAGGAATCATTGTCGCAGTCAATATCCTCAGTACATGGTGCGGGCGAAACAGTACATGTAGATGTTGAAGGATTGCAGAACTCGCCCGTGGCGCAGTCCGCGTTTGAGCTACATCTTGGAAGAGGCATACAGTTGTTACCCATGCCGCAGAACTGGCCCGCGGGACAGTCTCCATCGACCTGGCAGCTTGTAGTGGGTGTTGTACACTGGCTGTTGATGCAAACCTGGCCGTTGGTACAGTCGGTGTTTGAACTACACGGCGAGGGGTTGGAAGATTCGCATGTTCCGGCCGCAGAGCAAGTCTGGCCTGTAGGGCACTGTGCGTCTGTGGTACATTGCTGTGGAGGATCAATCTCACATTGGCCTTCGTTACATACTTGGCCGGTTGAACAATCACTGCTTGTTTGACATGTGGTGACAGGTCCGGCTGTGCAAGTCCCGTTCTCGCAGGTCTCCCCAGTTGCACAGTCGGTATTAGACTGACAGTTCCCAGGGGAGCTGATACAGTTGCCTTGGGTATTGCACTCGGAGCCGGCAGCACAGTCTGAATTTGTGGTGCAGTTCCTAGGCACACAAGCCTGGCTGACGGTATCGCATCTCTGGTTTCCATCGCAGTCAGAGTCTGACTGACACTCTTCAGTAGATGTCGCAGCATTCACGCAGACACCGTTGATACCGCAGCTGAAGCCAGGAGGACAGTCTTGGATTCCTTGGCACACCTTTCGAACACATGCACGAGCGGCCGTGTTGCAGGTCTCACCAGCTGGACAATTGGAATCGCCAACGCAGAGATATGGAAGGGAAATGCAGATGCCGTTTTCGTTGCATTTGGATCCCTGGCCACAGTCAAAGCTGGTCTGGCACTGCTTGGCCACACAATTCTGTGTGTTTGAATCGCAAGTTTCAGCATCGGTACACTGTGCATTAGTCTGGCAAGTAGTCGGAAGGACGACACAGATGCCGTCTGCATTGCACTCAGCGTTCCAGAGGCAGTCCGCTGTTGTCTGACACCTTGTTATGATGCAAGTGCGGCTGATGCGATCACAGGTTTGCTCTTGAGTGCAATCGCCGTCAACCTGGCAGAGGGAAGTCTGGACACTACAAACACTGTTGATACACGTCTGGCCATTGGTGCAATCTCCACTAGTTTGGCAGGAATTGTTGGGAATGGTGACACAGGCACCGGCATCGCAAACCTGACCAGCACTACAATCTGTGGTGGCAGTGCACCGTTCGAGACCTTGATACAGCGTGCAGTAGCCAGACAAGCAGATCTCGTTGGTGGCACATCCAATTCCTGGGGAACCGCAGTTAGCGGGATCCTCGATGGTGATGCAGTTGCCGAGGACGCAAACAGTGTCTGATGGACAAGATGTCCCGTACCAGCCGCAGAGCGCAGGCTGGGCCCAGGGAACGCAGACACCCGAGACACAAACGAATCCCGGTGGGCACTGAGGGCCCGTATCGCTACATTGAGATGGGTTGTTGATTTCAGTGCAGCCGTTGTTCAGGCAGACAGTGCCAGGGGGGCAACCTGCTGCTGGGCAGACAGAAGAGTTGTCAATGGGGATACAAATGCCATCGACACAGATAGAGCCGCCCTCGCAGCCACCGGGACAGAGACCTCTGTCAGGAAGTGTGAAGCAGGTTCCGAGGATGCAGAGACTGTTATTGGGACACGCTGTTTCGTCTGGGCCACAACTAGAGGGTTCGCCTTTGACATCAACGCAAGTACCAGCAATGCAGACACTTCTGGGACCGCAACCAAAGCCACACTGGCTATTATCAATAGTGGTGGGACGACACTCCCCATTGATGCAAGTAGTCCCAGGTTCGCAGCGCGTCCCGCCGCAGTCGCCAGGGTTGGCGATAACCGAGACCGACTGAACAGCGACACATGAACCTCGGAAGCAGAATGTGTTAGGATCACACACATCCCCAGGACCGGCGCAGTTCTGAGCATCGCCAAAAACGTCGAAACATACACCAGCAACTTGAATGCCTCCATAGTGGCAGTAGCCCTCATCGGGCCAGTACCAGGAGCCGTCCCCCTTTGGTGTATAGTCTTGAGTACTGCTGTCGAGGCGATAATGGTCATCATTATCCCACCATTGGTTGGCAGGAGAGGGATTGCCTGGGGAGGATGTGTCTGGGGTTTGTTGGGATAAGGTGGTGGTGAAAGTGGCAAGACAAGCCAAGGTAAGTGTAAAGCGTGCCATGATGGTTATTCAACTAGGTCATTGGAGTGGGAAGGGCATTGATGTTCTGGCTGAAGCCCTGATTTGTTACAGAGATCTCAGTTGACTTGATCATTCAAGACGTCTTATATAGAGATATCAGATATTCAAGACGCTCGGAAATGTGGAGAGTCAACTCTTGACAAGAAGTCATGATGCTATCATTTTGGAACCTATCTCTTAGTGCATCTCCTAATAGCATTTGGTGGCTTTCCTAAGCACCCCGATGCCTATCCGGTTAGATCACAGCTCCGTGTAGATATCAGCTAGCACCTCGAAGCATCGACAGATCGACGGGTTAGAGTTCTCGTGGAGGAAACCGAATTGGGAAATCATAGAAACGGCATCCGCAAAAGAACAACAACCACAAACTTAATCAGGATTCATGTGATGCAGCGATAATATTATGGGGTATTCTAACGGCAAGCTTTAACGGAAACGCCAGTTTCGTGGTCATTTCCGATGTTACTGCTTGTGTGCAAATAAAGCTTATAGGCTGAAATATTCAGTTCGAGGTATGCAAACTGATATCTAATGGCAACGGCTCACTCTCGCAACAATCCAGTTGATCCTCAGTCCATCAGCAGCTAACGATGAAGCTGAAATATGATGGGAATGTGAGAAGCTCTAATGATGCGGTGGTTGTTCCATCTGGTGTTCGATAGGTTGGATATTTGCGTTTCGTCCTAGAGATCGATCTTATGAACCAGGTGGCTTCAGATAACGTTACGGAAGGTGACGGGTAGCATAGATTGAGTTTAGATACACTGAAGCTTTCTCCAAGCTGTCAAGTCTCCGCATTCCCGAACTTGTCGATCCCATAGCAAACCAATTAAATCGGGCAATAAACTGGGTTAAATGCCAAGATTGTATGACTGGATCTGCTTCTGGACATGATGCTCCGTATCGAAACTTCGCGCCATGTGCTTGTGGGTTTTCAGACGGCTGGTTGCCCTCGCCCGTGACGGGTGAGCTTTCACAACGTCCACTTAGAATCGTACTCGTATGCTAAGTACAGTGAAGACGAGATTTAGCTTTTTATTAGCACACGGCTATGAGAGTAGAAGGGCATGATCAAAGGCCTTCTACTATGGATGAACGTGTTTTATTGCCCAATGCCTCTTCTATATCGTTCATTATCTAGTTATAACGTATAGTAGATCCATGGAAGGTTATCTGGAATGAAACGTGATGGAGAAGAGGAGGCTCATCGAAGCTATGCACTTGGAAAGTGCCGTCCGCTATATTTCGGCCAACTAGTATCGAAAGGTTATGGAAGATTCGCCAAGAAACGGCTGAAAATGTATGACTCTCATAACAGATGCATACCAAACGTGTGGGGGATCAGTAGGGGATGGCCAGTTGAATGACGGTTTCGCATTCCAATCTACGACCTGCGCATCAAGATTAGCCCAACGGTTAGCAAGTCATCTAAGCCCACCATTCCTTGTCTAGCACTTGCTAGATCAAGTAACCTTAAGCTAGAGAAAGAAACTAATATCCGCTTCCGCCCGCCTCATTTATCTAGCAGGCTGGCTAAGAGAGCTTGTTTCTATCCTTAAGCTTGCGTCTGGTGACAAGTTGAGCTGAAACTGTTCCATTCCACAACATATCTCAAATTCTAGTTGCAGGGCAGATCGTTCAAGTCAAGAGACACAGGCTGAACAAAGCCACTTGTCGGAAATCGATCTACAGCAGTCTAATTTAGCCAACGTAAATACAATTAATTAAAATTCGTCTTGCTTTCTACCTGCGGAACTGCTCCTCATTCCGGACAGAGGCGATTGTTCAGGAAACCTGGAGACTTCGGTCCTCTCCTTGTCAACTGGAATTTTAATTATAGAGATGTTCAAGAAATGCGGGTTTAAGATACCGAGCACTGGGTAGAAAGCATTCCGACGGAAAAGCCAACAGGGACTTTATGAAGCAAACTAGATCATAATGCCAGACCATTAGTGTAACTGCTCAAGTAGCAATGTTGAACTTTGGCCCTATGTAGCATAAGGGCTTGCTCTCCCCTCTTTTCCATTCGTTATATCTGGTTTAGAAGGACTGATGATTAGATCGAAGCCTCTGACGCAAACGAAACCGTCAAGACTGCGGCTGATATAGAATTCGGGTAGCAAGTGTCAATAGTCAACACTCTTCCCTCCGAGTAGATCAAAAGCACGTGACTGATTGCCATTTGCTCGGAGAGGGCGGCTACTAACGGGTTTGAGTTGCGATTTCCTTTAATGGGCAAGGTTTCATATAGTTTGATATTTGCAGATGAGATGAATTCTCTTCCTAAAACAGTGGAGTTTACTAAACAAGTAGGAAATATGTGATACTCTTTATGAGAGGACTGTAAGCCAATAACCAACCAGCCATACCTCACAAAGACGCTGAAACCCTGTTAAAACAACACCAAAGTGGCTATATCTATTTAAGTTTCCATATTTCCATGATGAAGTCTGCAACCTGAGTGAATTTGTAGTCCGGCAGCAGTTGGTTCCATTCATCCGTTACGTCCCAGAGGCCGTGATGTCCACCAAGTAAAACCGACACTGTTGCCAGTTTGGAGAATGCCTCCAGTTGATCCTCGGGGATCCCAGGGAATGGCAGGCGAATATAATTCTCCGACTTGAGCTCTTTTGCTTCGAGATCCTCCATTTTCTCCCATTCGATCGTAAAAGGTTTCCCTACGAGTCATGTCAGTAAATTTGCGCAGAATTGAGTCAGATAATACCTTGAGGACAAGGCCTTCAAAGAGAACAGCATGTACCTCGAACACTTTCTGCAATTCGGATGAGTTCTCCCACGGTGACCCGACTCCCTTGCACTCCACCCACGGGGGGCCATTCGCCCTCATACTCAACAGCGCGAGCGACCACAGCAGCGACATCGTGGGCGGTGGTGAAAGTGAGCTGATCGTCCAAGGATCCCTCAGCGAGCAGAGCTCGGCCGTTTTCAAAATCAATATTTGTAGGCATAGTCGTCAGATACTTGGAGACTTTGTGCGGATGGCCAAGGTAGTTCATATAAAGCCCGATTTGGAATCTAGTGTACTCGAGAACCTATCGAGCGTTAGCCAAGCTATGCCGTGGTATTAAAAAATCCATTACCTTTTTATCTTCATTGAGGGCCTCTAAATAGCGACTAACTTCGAGTTTGCCAGCGTACCACGGCATAATATCAATACGGCTCTCAAGTTTAGTGCCACTATTTTAATTAGCAATTGAAAATATCGATGGACGGTTACCACGTACGTTGCCCATTCAGCAGGGGCATAACGTTTGACTCCTGCTTTTACTGATGCATCGATGATCCTCTTCTGGACTACATTGCCGGGATCATTGAGCACGGCAAAAAAGCAGAGGACTGTTTCAACGCCTTCAAATAGGTTTACAAGCTCCGCTTCATCTTCGTATGATGTCTGCACCCACTTGACTCCTGATATCGAGGGAAACTGCGAGGGATCCTGGTATGGCGTTAAACTCGGGATTCATATGGTCAAATGTGTTCAGGGGAGCAGGAAATGTAACCTTTCGGATCAGGGCAAGAATTTTATGTTTGCTAGCCTCGGCGAGTTTATCAATGACCTCTCGGGCCAAGTCTAGGGCCTTTGTTAGATCCGTTTCGGGATGTCGAATAGTACATGGTTGACTTACCACCAGATGCTCCGGCAATAGCTATTTTTACCATTGTGATGTCGGATTATGGCGAATATTCACGTACAGAGGATGATTAAATGAGACAAGAGTAATACTTGTATTTAGTATCAAGAAATGCCAAATATTTATATGATTTTATACGTCCACTCTGAAGTTGTCACAAAGTCTAATCAGAGTATATTAGCGTGCTCTTCACGTAAAGCTGGTGAGATGGCCCACCTCGACGGTCCGATCCTGGCCCCGGTTACGTGATCGGAGAGGGAATGAGCCGGCTCTGCTTGCTAAGCTGCCGTCTCACCTCCGTCATTCGCCATCTCACACAGCCATTTGCCATCTAACACCCCAAATGGACGTCAAAGAGCGTGTGGGACAGAAGGAACCGATCATGTCTGCCGATCTATCCAGTGAGCGTGTCAATCCAGACGAGGATGCGATCGTAAGATCTCCATCCCAAATTCTTGACTCCACATTTGGCCGCTGACCCAGCAATCAATGGCCAGCACCGACGTGAGCGTGGACGGCAAGCGCAAGCAGCCTTCAGAAAACGGCAGGCTCAAGCAAGCCAGAAACTGAAAGACCACAATCGCGATCTCAAGGACAAGATTGAGAAAGTCGTCAATGCCACGCACGGGGATGAGCGTCCCGAGCTGCTTGATGCCATTGCCTCCCTCGCTCACAGTGTAGATGTTGATATCACTAGGCTCACCCATGGGGAGGGAAGAGGCTATAAAAGCAGCCAAGTTATTGTCATTGATCCTATGACCAGAGATTTCATGTATGAATCCGGCGATCCGGGGAGATATGACGTCCCGCCTTCAACCTTGCCGCAGAGGCGAGTTGATTACGGCGTGTGGCTTGATCCACTGCATTACACCAAGGTCTCATTGCCGCCCGAAGACATCGTTCCGTATCTTGGACCCGGAGCAAACACGTTTGCAGGCCGTCTTTTCTGGTTCGTCATGGAACACGGCCACAGTAAATGCGACTACCCACATCCAGATCAATCCATGATGAGGAAGAGAGTCCTCGGGCACGCAAAGGCTATGGACGGAATACGGCCGCCTTTCATCAAGGCCATGGTGGAAGCGAGGATACAGTATAAGAAAACGGGCGAGGTATGCCATGAGAATGCCGCTGCAGGGGAATCTGACTTGGCGACAGCAGTTTGCGGTCAGGTTTTGGAGGAATATCAGGCGACAGGGAGGGACCCAACTCTTTGGCTGTCATGCCTATCAACGGAGACGCACATACGAAGCATGGTCGGGGACGGCATTTTTGATAGCTCTCGTGGTTTCTCGGGCTCTGGGATGGGTCCATTTCATCACAATCTGCTGGAAGGTATCCAGTGTAGGCTCTATGACACGTTTGTGTGCTTCGGAGATGGGCCCAGGTGGACGACGGAAATCGTCGACCAGGCGCTTCAAGAATGGATAAGTAGTGAATCTGGTAGTGCTAACGCCTATCCTATCAGCGATGCACTGGATATCTGCAACTCTTAGCAACTCTCCCCAAGTTTAACATAAGAATAGGTGACAGAAGGATGAGACATCGAATTGGAGAGCATTTTGACCTTGAGTAGAGTCTTCCTGCAATAGTCAGAATGATGAAGCAATAGATGACGATCTCAATTGAGAAATTGTAGTGTATAGTCACTCGAAAATATATCATTGACTTCGAAAATACGAAAATACCAGTCACTGGCGGGAAAATAGCAGGGTACTGTTTGAGTATATCAATTTCAATGCCACGCGGTTTCGATGACCCAGCATCGACATCCAAGCTTACTAGCCAAAAAACTGGGAAATAAAATGAGGTAAATTAAATTTAACTATCCGTTGGAAGACGTGTCTAGCCAATAATAAAGGAAGGAGGCTGGGGATGAACCATAATGTGGTTGACTCGCCGAGACTTGCATTTATCCGAGCTGATCTTTCCACATCGTATAATTGCATTTCTCTGCACTTGCCCCAACTCCACTTCACTCAGTCCCGCCTCAGCCACCTTGCAGCCAACAAAACAAAGGCATCAACGCGGCATCAACACGCCGCTGGATTGACAAAATGGATGCTGCTGCCGGCAGTGACTATAGCGATGGAAGCATAGAGGCCACCCAATCTGAGGTGGAGGAAAATGTCCGCCGCCTCAACGACAACAGCAACCTCACCCCGAGGGAAATGAAAATGGCCCAATACGTCAAAGATCTGTACGCTTCGGGGGCCCGTCTCTGGACGAAAGAGATGTTTCGCAATGTCGAGGCAGATCTGGCTAAGGAGCCCTGCCCTGAGGAGGTCATGATTCGGAGCAGTAAGTCATCCCACCTCACACCAACCTCTCTTTCTTGGCTTGGGCCACTTCGGGCGTGAACTCTGACGTCAGATCTTCTCTTTCCTCATAGTGAACGACATTGAGGCTTCCGTAAGAATCCCAGCCGGCATCTATTCTCAAATCACCAAGGCCCATGAGGCGTACAATCCAAAGGGCTACACTCACGGTCCCTGGTAAGTCATCTCTTGTGCACAACAAATATTGAAATTTCCTTGCTCATCCAGAATATTCGATCCCAGGCACACGGCTATCAATTTCAATACGTATCAGGATCTTTTGAACCAGACGAAGAGCAGATACACCGGCTACCGGGATGAGAAAGAATCTGAAAATGATGACCCATTGGCTGAGAAGGAGCAGGTCGAGATTACCCGAGCCCTTCATTTGTATGAGAGCAGAGAAAGCTATTCGTCCGAGAACATAAGCGAATACTCCTCTCTCAAGGATATCTGGGACGAAACTTGGGGCAATTGGACGAAGAGCAAGGTCTGCAAAGAGCTGGGCGATACAATCGCAGGAATGCCCAATGTTGCCACCACTATCGACAAAGTGGTCTGCTTCGGATTGGGGTCATTTTCGAATTTTCGACGTTCAGATGATGGCGAGGAGGAGACTGATGGTGACGCAGACGGCATGCCCCTGCGCAGGGCCATGGTTCAACATGCAGCTGCGCTCACGATGGCAACGGAATTCGGAAAGCGGGTTGGCAAAGGCCCTCTGAAGATCTTTACGCAGGACCCAGCATATACAGACACAGAAAAGCAGGTACTGCGAGATCTAGGGATCGAGGTTGTGGGAGGCTCTGGGTCACTTGGCTTCACATATGTGGACAGTGATACACTGGTCTTCTCGATTGCCCCCAACATCCCGGTCAGGCAAATCGTAGCCGACATCGCGAGACCAGCAGCGATGGTGTGGTGTACAGTTCAGTCAGATGGGGTGGGCACTCCCAAATGGCGTGCGGAGAATTTCGATGGAAAGTGGTATTCTGTCGCGTACGTATCCCGTTTCTTCCCTGCTATCTCTATGCCACGAAGCGATGAACTAACCATATCATCATTTAGCCCTTGGTCAACGGATCCAGACTCTCCCCGCACTCGGGAATTGATTGATAGCTACGCGGCGTATAAATTTCCACGAGACGAACAAAGATTTGGCGATCTTACCATATATGTACGGTCCGATTAGAACAAAGTTGATTTGTGAAGCCGCAGTCTTTCACGAAATCGGCTCGACTCGTGGTCTACTCTATCGTTTCTGTATCAACAAAATAATGAAAGTCTCCTCACCTTGAACTCAAGGGTATCTAGTTTCTGGAATGTTCTTCGGGTGGTTTGCATTGGAGCTCCTGAGACGCGCGTTGCTGCATAGTGAGAACAAATGCCATGCCTTGAACTCAGGGATATGGCCTAGCCAGGAGTCATCCTAACAGGCCATTTTAGAAATACGGCTTGTAGATCAGCTTTTACGGACCAAACTCATTCGTATCTAGTTGCCCATGATTGGTCAGCTTAGGTCTAGGCTGGTATACCACTGCCCTGATTCCGTAGTAAGCCGACTCTACGCTAAGCCGAGGCTCTGGTGCCTGCAGAATCCTTCCGATGATCGGACATCCAAATGGTGTGTCGTCAGTAACATCCTCGCACAGGGTTGCATCTCATTGACTATCGGAAACACTTATATATCCCAAACCTATAACTACCAAATTCTATCCAATTTATATTCAATCTTTCTTTAAATAATTATCCCAGCGACCCAAGCTTTCCCCTCATTGACCGACTTTTTCAATTAATTACTATTCGATGGAGAGCCCCTTAAAGGAGAGGAAACAGCCTGCCTCTGTTACTATTCGGCAGGCTTCAGAACCTAACGACATTGATGAAGTCCGAAAATGCTTCCAGGTCTATACGACATGGCTTGACGAAGATATATCTTTCCAAAACTTTGACGCCGAGTTTCAAGGACTCCCTGGGAAATATGCACCGCCGTCAGGAGCACTGCTTCTAGCTCTTGATTCGGACACCGGGGCAATACTTGGCTGCGTTGCGATGAGGCCACTACAATTAGAGCAAGAGTACCTCTCACAACGCCAGCCTGATGTTCGACTCTGCGAAATGAAACGACTGTTTGTGTATCCTGAAGCAAGGGGCAGGCAGGTCTCAAGAGCTCTTGTACGGGAGGTCGTGAAACGAGCGGGAGATGCGGGCTATGACGAGATATTGTTGGACACTTTGGGGAAGATGCAAGCGGCTATCAATCTCTACATCTCTGAGGGATTCGAGGAGACATCTCCGTACACGTTCAATAGCCTCGAGGGGGCTATGTTTTTCACCAAAAAGCTCAAGTTGGCTTAATTCATCCCTTAAGCCACCGGGCGCTCAGAGAAGCCGGTTGTATTGAATCAGGGCGAGGATGCTTTTATCATGTGTGAGCCGATTCTAAAGGCAATGTTCAATCAGGAATAATTACTTGGGCATGGACTTATGAAAGTCCGATATCCACCAGAATCATGCATTAGCTAGACGATTAGACTACTATAAAGGACACTCCATCTTATGATTGTCATAATTTTTGCGCCCTGATTCTATGAATATATGTGTACTCTTATCATTTATTAGTTTCTCCGGTTTAGAGACGACGCCCTATCTTCGAGGATAGACGCATGAATTTCCCTCAACGTGAGGCAACGTCGCCACAGTGTATCAAAGGCAAGCCTAGCGGAAGAGAGAGCCATGCCTATAACTTAAAATTATATCTGAAGAGGTAGCTTCAAAGTCGTACATAATAAATGGGTCGCTTCGGAATACCCGGGATATAGGTGATGATGATTTCATATCACTTCAAGGATAGTCGGCAAACCTGGAAGTGAGTGAGAGTTGACACGCAATTATTAATATCAATAGGTGGTTTCAATCCTACGGTAGTTGATATCATTTCTCTGAAAATGGGTACGGCAATGTATTCTATCACTTGTCTCTGTTTTAAGACGCTCATGGTCCTCCGTTTTGTGTCGGGGTGGAGCATATATCCGTAGTGGCAAACCGCCAAGATATCTCGTAAACCGGTAAATCGAGCCATGAAAGCGGCCGGTCCAGTGGCGGGTTTGTGGAGACCGGCCCGTAGAACATGAGACGATGGTAAAGCATGGAAGATCGTGTCTAATATATTCTCGGCAGGCGGCAATTACCGAGTCGGTAGACAACGTTTCTATGGGCTGGTTTACGAGGACCCGCTCACAAAACCTCCGGCCGTGGCTTTAGGACGAGGGTCCGAGTTCAGAATTAGGCAAGACAGAGTCCCATTTAGCACCTTTTAATTAGGGGAGTTTCACGTTTGCGGAAAGGAACAGCTTCTTGGCTCGTGGCTCGTATGTTGCTCGGCCTTATTATATTTACAGATCCTGGCTGAGCCGTCGGCCCATATGTGCCTAGTCTCTTCTCCAGTACAAAAGCAGACCGTGTGGAAGATCGGCTCTGGCAGTCACGTCGTGGGTCGCTCAAAATATACTGTTCCGCCTGTGATTCTTTGAGTTATGTTGTTCAAAACCGTGATTCTGGGGCTTCTCGCCTCAGTTGGGCAGGCCCTTAGCGTCAACAACGATGCCGCGTCTTTGCAGAGGCGTGCGTCGTCCGCTGATCGATTGGTTTTTTGCCATTTTATGGTATGTTACACCACTTGCAATGAAGGAAGTGATCCAAGTTTAACCGCTATTACTAGATGGGCATTATCGGTGATCGTACCAGCGCCGCAGACTACGATGATGATATGCGCCGCGCCAAAGACGCAGGCATCGATGCCTTTGCCCTCAACATCGGCACCGATTCAAACGTCGACCAGCAGCTCGGGTATGCCTACCAGTCAGCAGCCAACAACGGCATGAAGGTCTTCATCTCCTTCGACTTCAACTGGTTCAAGCCCGGCAGCGACGCCGCCACCGTGGGTCGCATGATCGCCCAGTACGGCAGCCAACCGGGTCAGCTCATTGTTGACAACCGCATTTTCGCATCTACTTTTTCTGGAGACGGCCTTGATATCAACGCCGTCAAATCTGCTGCCGGTTCAGACGTCTTCTTCGTTCCCAACTTTCATCCTGAGCAGAGCTCTGCTGGTTCTGTCGATGGGGCCTTCAACTGGATGGTAGGTGTGCTCAGTCCAGTCCACAAAACAAACGAACTAATCAGACTTTGCAGGGATGGGCTAGCGATGGATACAACAAAGCACCCAAGGCTGGTCAGTCAGTCAGTGTTGCCGACGGAGACAATAAGTACCTGAACTGGCTGGGTGGCAAGCCTTATATGGCTCGTAAGCAAATATCAACTCTCTCAAATTCTTGGAACAATCCCGTTAACACCTTCTAGCCGTTTCTCCCTGGTTCTTTACGCACTACGGACCGGTAAGTATTAAACTCACTGGTTATTCCTAAAGCCACTGCTAACTCGTACTTTAGGAGGTCAGCTACAGCAAGAACTGGGTCTTCCCTGGTGGTTCCTTGATCTTCGATCGCTGGAATGAGGTCCTGCAGAAGGGATTCCCCATGATTGAGATTATTACGTGGAACGACTATGGCGAGTCCCACTACATCGGTCCCTTGAGCTCGCTTCACTACGACGATGGTAACTCCAAGTGGACTAACGATATGTGCGTATATCTGCCCTCAAGAATTTCAGAATAAACTGACCACAATAGGCCCCACAACGGCTGGCTCGATCTCTCCAAGCCATACATTGCTGCCTACAAGAACAAGGATACATCCGTCAACAAGTATATCACCAAGGACCAGATTATTTACTGGTATAGACGTACCCTCAAGAGCCTTGACTGCGACGCTACCGACACTACCTCGAACCGCCCCGTAGAGGGCAACGAAAACTACTTCATGGGTCGCCCAGATGGCTGGGAAACCATGGATGACGTCGTCTACGTTGTGACAATGCTCACCCAGGCCGGACAACTCACCATCACCTCTGGCGGCCAGACCGTCGTCAAGGAGGTCCCCGCCGGTGCCAACCTAATCGAAGTCCCCGCTGCTGTCGGGCAGCAAAAGTTCAGCCTCTCACGGAACGGTCAGGTTGTCCTTGAAGATACCTCCAAGATGGACATTTCCAACGTCTGCCCTTGCGGACTGTACAACTTCAATGCCTACGTCGGAACTGTCCCCGCCGGCTTTGACGACCCCCTCGGACCGGACGGCCTGAACTCTCTCACGAACGGACTCATTGTCACCACTTGCTCTCCTCAGCCGTCTCTTGGGACCAACCCTCCCACGCAAACTGGAGGTGGCGGCGGTAATGGCGGCAGCACTACCGCTGCGCCAGCTCCTACAAGCAACCCAGGCACTGGCCGTAAGTCTCACATCTTAACAAAGAATTCTGCTTTTCCCCGGTGGACAAACTTTAGCTAACTCATATCGACCAACACAGAATGCAACGGCGGCACCAGTGCTGACGGCGAGACGGAGAACTACAAGGGTCTTTGCAGCTTCACCTGCGCCTATGGATACTGCCCTACCGGCCCATGCAAGTGCACCTCCAATGGAACTCCCGGGACCCCTCCGGCATACAGCGGGCGTGACGGGTGCCCTGCTTCTGGCTTGAGCGATGCCTACAAGGGTCTCTGCAGCTACACTTGCAGCCATGGCTACTGCCCCGAAGGCGCATGCCAATACTGTTGAGATGATCAAACCCTCCATATATGAAGCCATCCATTCCCCGGAGGACAAATGTATATCTAGTTGGGTATGTTTTTAAGCATAATTCAAAACAGCTTCCGGTTGATAGGGAAGACTTGAAAATAGTGATCTGAAGCCTGCATTACTTCAATAAGAATTCGTCAACTATAAGTGTTATAAGAGTTATTGAACCTCGACAGAAAGTCTCAGGCGAAAAGTCTTGATCGTGTCCGCCGCCCCTCTGAGGTCACCTAGCATGTCGTGCAGTAGGTCTGACAATCAGCTAAAGCTTGAGATCATAAGTGAAGAAAGTAACGTGCGACTGCTTAGCTACCTTGGTAGGTGAAATCTACCTAGACTATCGCCAACGATTTAAAGTATAGGAATACTCAACAGGCCTTAGCCAGAGCCAAATTATTATACCCAAGTCTATTCTTTTTACCCTCTAAATCGTTGAATATCAAGCAACAGCTTTTGAAAAGATACCATTGTCAGAAATTGCAGACAGACAGCTGTCAAG